AGACAACCCTGGAGCAGCACCAGCGAATACACACCCAGGAGAGGCCCTTCCAGTGCACCAAGTGCAACAAAAGCTTCCGGCACAGGCAGTCGCTGAACAACCATCAGAAGAGCCACTCTCCCTCCAGGGCTTCACCCCGCCACAGGCAGGGGACGGAGACAGCCCCCTCAGGGGAAAGACTGAAAACAGGCAGCAGCCCAGTGGGCTGGCAGTGGGGAGGAGGCAATTTACAGGCTGTTCCCTCCCCAGAAATACAGCAACACATTACATGACAGGCCCATACACTCTATAATAGCAGCTGGCGTTTACAGAGTGCCAGACTGGTCCAAAGCACGGGCCAGTCCTTCATGAATCCTCCCAGCGCCCCTGTAAGACGGGGGGTCAGGACTGACCTACCTACTTCACAGGCAGGGAAAGTGACTTGGCAAAGACCATGCAGTGAGTCAGTGACAGAGCCATGAGCAGCACCCAGTCGCGCACTCACTCCTCCAGGCTACGCTGCTTTCGGAAAGCGTCTTTAACTGAAGTGGGACTTGACCCTGGTAACTAACATGTAATGGTAAATAGCAGATGCTACATTAAAGACCATTACCTGAAGGCTGATGTATTTTGAGACCAGTTATTTTTTTAATGTACATGAAAGACTATCAGTGGGTTAGGGGTTGGGGAGGCTGGAAAGTCTAGTTATGGGGCTGGGACAATCAAACAAGCTCAGAGGGGCATGGGGTATGGGGGGGGGGGTCTGACAGTGTCTTCCAGCCCCACCTACGCCATGTTGTTCACATGGACATGGAGCCAGGCGCTGGTTTCCCTGAGCCACCTCCCAGCCCGTGTCCTGCTCTGGGTGGGGTTGGTAAAAGTCCCTGTCAGTGGAGGGGGATGTTCCTGCTGTAGGCCTTGTCTACACGGGGAAGGGCTTGCTGACAGTGCTGTTGCGGTAGGGCCGGACCAGCAAACCCTGCTGATGGCAGGCACAGCTTCTACTGGCAAAAGAGTGTGTTTGCTCAGCCACGGGGGGAGAGGAGATGGAATGGGGTGGACGAGGGCACGTGGGAGAAAGGAGAGCAGAAGCGTTGGAGGCAGCTCCTTGAAGGGGTGGGAGGAAATGGGAAGGCAGAAAAATGGACATGGCAACTTCATGCTTTTGTCTGGTGTGCAAACAAAGAATGTAAGCCCTGCCCTGAGTGGCTAGCAGGGATGCACCTTGGGAAAAGAAAGGGGCTTGCAATGGGTTTGAGGGCTGACTAGGAGGTACCTAGCATACTCGTAACAGGGAGGACTTTCCAGGCACACAGGGTGGAGAGACAGCAGGAGCAGCGAAGGCTGACAGGCGAGGGAATGGGGGGGGGAAGTGCAGAAAAAAGTCTAAGCTCTCCTAACTTGCTTGCAGAAGTCCTGCAATAAATACAAACCTCCCCTTGGGGCCTTTCACCCAGGCCTGGGTGAGTCCTCACGGATCTAGCCAATTCTGGTCGCTATCTGGAGCGCCGGAAACTAGAGGGGTACAGCACACATGGGGGAAAGGAGAAAGTGGCTTGGGGACCCGCTAGCTTGTGCTGTCTGTCATGGCACACAGACCCTTATGTTCTGGGTGCCTTGTGACGTCACTTGACGGGTGGCCAGCTAAATGAAGAATTTTGGGTCCTCTGGCCTCAGCCACAGGAGGTTTCGGCCCCCAGGGTGGGTGCGTGCGGGTAGCCTTGCCCTAGCCATTGAAGCCAGCAGGTTGGCTAGCCTTGCGCTGAGCAGGGTGCACCACGTGAGGCCTGAGTGCCGCGTGCCCAGAGCCTGGTCTACACTAAGGCTCCTGGCGAGTCGCTTCAACAGTGAGCCCGTTTGGGGGGAAAGCCTACTGTAGGCACAGCAAGGGCTGCCAGGCCAGCCTCTTCTGCCAGCACGAACGAACAGGGTGACCCCAGTGAGGAAACAAACGACAGGAGGTGGGTGAGCAATTGTGCCATGGCCATGGGACTTTTTTGTCCAACGCTGTTTGCCGTCCCTGGCAGCTGTGGGTGAGGGGTGACCTCCAGCTGGCTCCGCGGGCCACCTCCCAAAGCTGCCCTCACAATTGCAGCAGAGGCCAGACTCAGTGCCCTTTGGGGAGGGGGGTCACGCCTGCTCTGGGCAGGGTGGGGGAGGCTTTGCCACACCTGCTCTGTGGATAAATGTGGGACCTTCCATTGAGTGAGCGTCTGAGCTGGACCAAAGCCGGCTAAAAAGACTTCTTGGGGGAGGAGCCGCTTAGGGCAACGCCCCCGGGGAGGCAGAGGGCATGTTGGGGCCAGATGGTTCCAAGCAAGGAGGTGCTGCTAGCCTTGCTGTCCAGGAAGAGGTGGGGCTGCCCCGAGAAACCCAGGCCCAGGACAAAGAGAGATCAGCGAGCGAGTGAGCGTGGCACCTGCTCAGGGCAAAGGCTCCGCAGACAAGAGTTTCCTAGTGAGAAAGCCATGTCCTCCTGCCCCCCAGAAGATGGAGGGGGTTGCACCAGGGAGCTGCTCATAAGAATGACCATACTGGGGCAGATCAATGGCCCATCTAGCCCAATAGCCTGTCTCTGACAGTGGCCAATGCCAGGTGCTTCACGGGGAATGACCAGAACAGGGCAACAATTGAGGGACCCAGCCCCTGTCGTCCAGTCCCAGCTTCTGGCAGTCAGAGGTTTAGGGACACCCAGAGTTGCATCCCTGACCACACTGGCTAATAGCCAGTCATGGACCTATCTTCCATTAACTTATCTAATTATTCTTTGAACCATTATACTTTTAGCTTTCACAACACCCCCTGGCAATGAGTTCCACAGGTTAACTGTGTATAGTGTGAAGAAATACTTCCTTATGTTTGTTTTAAACCTTCTGCAAATTCATTTCATCGAGTGACCCTGGGTGCTTGTGTTATGTGAATGGATAAAACACTTCTTCATTCACTTTCTCCACACCATTCATGATTTTATATCATATGGGCTCCATTTAACCCTAGGGGTGCAGGCCTGCAATGTGCATCTGTGTGCCCCGGGGGGCTGATGTACCATGCCATGTTTATACCTTCCCCCTCCCCTGAGAGTATTGCCTGGGGCACACTGCCCCCTCCCCAGCCACCACTGCCCCTAGTTGCCAATGTGTCCAGCCGCCACCAGCCATTGGAGCGTCAGGGTGATTCTAGGCCTGAGTGTCAGATGGGGAATGCAGATCTCCTCCCACAGCGGTTCGATCATCAGTAAGTGGGAAAGGGGGAAGCGTTAAGACGTTCTTTCCACCCTGGATTAATTCATCAGAGTGCTGGTGCCGAAGGAATCCATCTACACTTAAAACATATCAGAACAGCTGTGAACGACACCCCTCTGCCCAGCCTAGCTCTGCTGCCAAAACCCAGCATAGATGCAGCTGGACTGACAAAAGGGGGCTTCTGTTACTGAAACTAACAGCATTCAGGATGGTGTTTCTGTACCAGCTTCTGGTGGTCTACACTACCTGCATGGGGCAGAGGGAAGCAGGTCCCTGCCCTCCTCCTGTCTTCAAGCAGAGGAATTTTTAAGCAGAGCCAGTTTGGAGTAAGTGAAGCTCAAAGCAGGGTGAGATATCTCTTGCCTTTTAACTGTTGGGGGGTGAAGCCAGAACAGTGATTCTCAAACTTTTGTACTGGTGACCCCTTCACATAGCAAGCCTCTGAGTGCGACCCCCCCTTATAAATTAAAAACACTTTTTCATATATTTAACACCATTATAAATGCTGAAGGCAAAGCAGGGTTTGTGGTGGAGGCTGACAGCTCACGTCCCCCCAAGTAATTACCTCCCGATGCCCTGAGGGGTCCCGACCCCCACTTTGAGAACCCCTAAGCTAGAACATCCCATCAGGTCGATGGCCCTGTATTTCCCAGAACGATGTTTGCAACAGTGACACTGTTGACTGCTGGTTAGCTTGTGATCCAGTAGGACGTGGCCTGTGTTAGCCCCCAAGGTGAGCACCCAGCAACAGGCAGCTAACCGTGTTTCTCCTTCCCTGGAGACCCAGGCAAGCACACAGCTGTGGTGCAAGAGCCAAGTTAGTACACTGTTGCCTATGCAGCATAGATAGGGAACCCCCTCGTGATGCCCGGGGTTTGGTTTGGGCTCTTCTACAATGAGCAGGCTTGAAGGAGAAGGATATGCCAGAGTTCACTAGTCCCTGTGAACAGAACAGCTACACTGAGTCAGACCGATGGTCCATCTAGGCCAGTATCCAGTCTTCTGACAGTGGCCAAAAGGGAATGAACAGAACAGGGCAATTTGGAGTGATCCATCCCATCGTCTGACTGTCAGAGGCTACAGAGCATAGGGTTGCATCCCTGCCCATCCTGGCTAATTGATGGACTTACCCTCCCTGAACCTGTCTAGTTCTTGTTTGAACCCCGTTACAGTCTTGGTCTTCACAACATCCTCTGGCAAAGAGTTCCACAGGTTGACTGTGCGTTGTGTGAAGTAGAACTTCATTTTTTTTTGCTTTAAACCTGCTGCCTATTAATTTCATTGCGTGACCCCTCGTTCTTCTGTTATGGGAAGGAGTAAATAACATTTCCGTATTTACTTTCTCCACACCAGTCACAATTTTATAGACCTCTGTCATATCCCTCCTTAGTCGTCTCTTTTCCAAGCTGTAAAGTCCCAGTCTTATTACTCTCTCCTCATATGGAAGCCCTTCCAGACCCCTCAGCAGTTTTGTTGCCCTTCTCTGTATCTTTTCCCATTCCTATACATCTTTTCTGAGATGCAGTGACCAGGACTGCACGCTGTATTCAAGGTGTGGGCGCACCATGGATTTATATCAGGTCATTTTGATATTTTCTGCCTTATCTATCCCTTTCCAAATAGCTCCTAACATCCGGTGCTTTGGGCGCTCTAACTCCTGCTGACGCACTACAGAAGAGCAGCCCAGAATGCACCAATACAACCCCAGATAGGCCCAGCGGTAGACCTGCAACCATGGGTATGATCACAGCTGCTCTGCAGGTAACTGTCACCTGTCATCTCTTCAGGGAGCCAAGGGCCCCCCCAAACAAACAAAAACCCAGCTGTGTAGACAGGCCTGAAAGCATCAGAAGCTTGTAGCTGCAGGTCTCATTTGAGGGAGGCCTGCAGGCGGCTACTGGGAAGGTAAATAGCTCCTAGCCAGAGCAGATCCGCAGTGTGATTAGCAGAGGAGGGCCGAAGCACCAACCTTACGCTGCACTGTAACTAGCGCTGCTGTGGCGGACGCAATGCCTGCTCTGGAGAGTTCTCACAAGCACCCACGCTACTCCTAGGTCGGGCAATGTTCATCGGAATTGAGCTTGGCCCCAATTCCCCCACTGCCCTTTTAACAGCTGAATTACGTGGTTTGACCTTTAAAGTGAAATACTCCTAGAGTCTGCCTTCCTGCGGCAGCTCCAGGACCTGGGACAGAGTCATCACACCTTACTGACACGCTTTGACCACCCTGCACCCAGCTTAACTTTATTTTTTGCTGCTGCTCCAGGGTATTTGAGGGTACGCCCCCACCACGAGTTGCAGTGGGAAGCAGGAGTGTCACAAATAGAACAGTCACAAATAGAACAGAAATCACTGCTTCAAGTGTACCAATCGCTTCCACGGACGGGCAAGCGAGCCAGATGCTGCATTCCTGCTCTCACCCGCCAGGGTGGAGCTCAGCTTCCCTTTCATGAGGGCTGAAGGTGGTGAGGCAGAGAGGTAAGAGCATAGGCGGCCTGTATTGTAGACCTGGTTCTGCCTCTGGCTTTCAGGCCCGTCTCAGCCTCGCCGCACCTCCGAGTCCCCAGCCGTACTGACTGCAGGAAGCCGCCCAGCGCCAGCAAGCAGACCGCATTGGTCTGTAGCACTGGAGGACCTGGGGGACAAAGTACTGTTAACCCAGCACACCTGCCGACGCTCACTCCCAACAGCCTGTGTGCCACTTCTGCAGTCACGTAGGAAGTCGTTCACGTTACAGCAGCATTCTGCGACAGCAGCTCGTAGGCCTGCCCTGCACCATCCCCGCAGAGCAGAGCCTGCTGGCGACGTTCCCGCTGGCGGTGTCAGCGGTCAGGAGACTGTTCGTACAAACAAAACAGCTGTGGCCGCTTAGACGCTTCCAACGCATCGTTCAGTCCGTTGTGGAGTCTCTACCCCGGGCCCGGCACGTAACGGCTGCTTGTAGCTCACATTCAATACAGTCTTGCGTCACCATCCCTCGCGTCCAGCGCTCCCCCTCCCATCCGGCATGCAGAGAGGGCGTGCGATTCACCGCAGCGTTTCACATGGAGTGGCTCTCCCATTGCAGCTCCCAAAGCAGGGCTCACCCCCCTACTCCCCTGTATTTTCCATTTTCGGGTACAGCAGTGGGCTCTTGAACTCTGTCCCCGGCGCAGCCGGCGTGCCGCCCAGCTGGCCGGCCTGCGCGCACTGGTGCAGTCTCAGGGACTGCTGGCAGCGGAAGCTCTTGGCGCAGGCAGAGCACTGAAAGGGCCGCTCGCCCGTGTGGATGCGCTGGTGCTTCAAGAGGTGCTCCTTCTGGACAAAGCTCTTCCCGCACTCGCCGCACGGGTAGGGCCGCTCGCCCGTGTGGATCATCTGGTGGCGCACCAGCCAGGAGTGGCAGACGAAGCTCTTGCCGCACTCCAGGCACTTGTAGAGCTTCTCCTTGGTATGGTTGCGCAGGTGCTTGAGGAAGTAGGGCTTCTGGGCGAAGCTCTTGCCGCACTGGGCGCACTTGTAGGCGCGCTCGCCGGCGTGGGTGTTCTGGTGCACGGTCAGGTTGGTGAGGCGGGTGAAGCTCTTCTCGCACTGGGCGCACTTGTAGGGCTTCTCGCCGGTGTGGGTGCGCCGGTGCTCCACCAGCGTGGAGAGGCGGCTGAAGTGCTTCTCGCACTCCAGGCACTTGTAGGGCTTCTCGCCGGTGTGGGTGCGCTGGTGCTCCAGCAGGGTGGAGAGGCGGCTGAAGCCCTTGGCGCACACGCTGCACTTGTAGGGCTTCTCGCCGGTGTGGGTGCGGAGGTGGGTGGTGAGCGTGGACTGGTGGATGAAGCCCTTGCCGCACTCGGGGCACACGTAGGCGCGCTCGCCCGTGTGGATGCGGAGGTGGTTGGTGAGGTTGGACTGCTGCGTGAAGCCCTTGCCGCACTCGGGGCACACGTAGGCGCACTCGCCCGTGTGGGTGCGGAGGTGGTTGGTGAGGTTGGACTGCTGCGTGAAGCCCTTGCCGCACTCGGGGCACACGTAGGCGCGCTCGCCCGTGTGGGTGCGGAGGTGGTTGGTGAGGTTGGACTGCTGCGTGAAGCCCTTGCCGCACTCGGGGCACACGTAGGAGCGCTCGCCCGTGTGGGTGCGGCAGTGGTTGGTGAGGTTGGACTGCTGCGTGAAGCCCTTGCCGCACTCGGGGCACACGTAGGCGCGCTCGCCCGTGTGGGTGCGGCAGTGGTTGGTGAGGTTGGACTGCTGCGTGAAGCCCTTGCCGCACTCGGGGCACACGTAGGCGCGCTCGCCCGTGTGGGTGCGCTGGTGCTTCACGAAGTGCTCCCTGCGGCTGAAGCACTTCCCGCACTCGGGGCAGAGATAGGGCCGCTCCGTCGTGGGGGCCCCCGGGGACACGGTGCTGGCTTTCAAGGGGCTGAAGTCTCTCTCGTGCTGGGTGGGTTTCTCTGGCATATGTACTGCCAGGGTCACGTTTGGCCCATTGGAGCCGTACTGACCCTCGCAGGGCAGGCTGTGCTCGGCACTATGGTAAATATTCTCTTCCGGCCTTTGGGCCGAGGTCCAATGAGGCTTCAGCTCCTGTGAATCTTGCTCCTTTTTGTTCTTCCAGCCGTCAGCTGGAACCAGGAGGGAAGGCAAAGGTAATTCACAGGACAGACTGGGAGAAATGAAACTATGCTGCATAAAGCAGTGGGGGAAATCAACTCTCTGGCCATGCATCAGAGACCAACTGAGGGGAAGGCTGGGCCTCTGGTTACAGCACTAGGGTCCTTCTCTGCCACAGGCCTAGGGCAGAACATAGCCTCTCTCCACCTCACTTCCTATCTGCTAGTGGAGAACAGCAATCCTGCCCTACCTTCCAGCGGCATGGGGAGGATAAAGACAAAGCTTGGGAGGTGCTCTCCATAAACCTCCCCAAAACTTCCTCATCATCCATCTTCAAATTCCTCTGCAAAACTCTCCTTTGCCATGACGCCACGCAGCCTCTGACACTTAGGCTGCACGGCCTGTCATACGGACCAATATTGCCCCTTGTTTTCCTGTCCTCCCCCATCTGTCTGTACCCACGTGTTGTCTCGTCTTACACTTAGATTGTAAGTCCCTCGGGGCAGGGACCGTCTTTTTGTTCTGTGTCTGTACATCGCCTAGCACAGAGGGGTCCCAATCCAGGCTCTTAGGTGCCACATTAATACAAATAATTAACAACAATAATAACGAAGATCCTGCAGGACTCAGATACTACAGGGATGGGTCTACCAAGAGACAGACCAATAGTTCGAGATGCAAAGGATGTTGGCATGTCTTTGGATACAAACCCTCCCTGCCACACAGGCAAGTAAGGTAAAGATTGATTCTATCTGCAATCATTACTGAGAGATTTCTCTCTAAAGGGAGAAACAAAACAGGAACTCCACAATAGGCCAAATTCTACACTCGAATGCGCCCATGCAGCTCCCATTGATCACATGGGCATGTACCTGAGAGAAGAATTTGGTTCAGTACCTCAGTGCCACTTGGAGCAGAGAGTCACCAGGCAAGAGAACCTAAGGGAGAACATTTCTTGTCCCTGATCCCTTCCAGTCAATCTATCCATGGATTTCTACAATGCTCACCTCCTGGGGTGCATCTGAGCACCCCAGGAGATTATCAGCACATCAAAGTCCTACAGGTGGTCTCACTCACGCCCCCAAAGAAGTCCTGCTAACATGTCCCATCCGAATGTTCAAAGGGATAAACTGCCCTGTGGGGTATGCAGCATCCTTCTTCCCATTGCAACTGAGGCCTGTCACAAAGATAATGCTGCTCACCCTGGACTACAGAAGAAGAGTTTTAGAACTATAAAACTTTTGTTCACGTTCTTGCTTTTAAACTAGACTGCCAGGATTCACAGTCACCTGAGCCTACCACACACCTGCCATGGGCTCTGTAGGGGCTTCTCTTTTGTCTGCATTCTGCTCCTCCTCAGCAATTGGCTCTTCCTCTTGTTTAATCTGAGCGGAGATTGCGAGGGTAGAAATCGCAGACTCTGTTCATTGAAAAGAGAGAGAGCTCAGTGAGGATTTTCTAACAATCACTGCCCGACATGAAATAAATAGCTTGTGCCTCCCGGGTGTAACTGGATAGCAAAGACTTAAATAACCCTTGCCACATATGCATCCAAGCCATATGCATCCGAGCCAAGTCTTATTGCTAATACAGCCCTCACTCCTTTTGAAATTGTTCCAAAAACCTTTCAAAATGATCCCAAGCCCCAAAAACCTCCATCTCCGGAGCAGGCAGTCATTGACTAGAAACCAGACATGCTAAAGAGGATATAGAGGAACCAAACCAAGTGGTCAAGGGCACTGACCAGTCCGCACACTCAAAGAGGAGGAGCTAGAGCCAGAAATAGTTTTGATTGGTAGAGACAAAATCTGACATAAGAAAACTACTGATTGTTTTTTAAGCAAGCAGCTCTAATGGCAGATGGAGGCTTGTTGAAGTTACAGCTGCTCGCTTCACCTACTGTTTCAGTCGATTTCAGCCAACCCTCACCTGTGCTGGGATCTGCAGTGGTTTCTCTTTCCTCCGACTCCTGCTGACCCCTCGCACACGGCTCTTCTCCTCGCTCAATTCGGGACAGGATGTCAGGTTTGGAAATTGCATAGTCTGCTTATGGGACAGGACATAGTGGTAATTAATAAACAGATAAATCACAATTCTTTGCTACAAGTTATTTTAAATCAATCCCCTTCTATCCCTGGAGGCGATCTGTACCTGACTGAGTGAAAAGCAACCCCCGCAAAGCACCTCCTACGCGGGATGTCGAAGCACTTCACAAAGAGTGGATGCATCTCAGCCACCTGGAAGCCAGAGGAGGACTGCCACAGCACCCCATGAAGAAGGAAAGAGATGGCAAGTGACATGCCCAAGGTCACACAGGGTCTGTGGCACAGCTGGGACCAGAACCCAGGTCTTGAGTTCCAGTTCTGCGTTTAGCCCCACCACCATCATCCCCTTACGTAGGGACATCAGTTACTTGCACCTCTTCTCTATGACACACCCTTTATGCAGCAGAATTTACCACACCACACACAGCATCCAATTAGCAAGTTGCAGGTGAGTGCATCGATGCCAACAGGAGTTATACTAGTGTTCAAGTCAGCGCCAGATCAAAACCAGGCCCACAGAACACGAACGGTTTTCCACATTCGAGGGCTGGGCCTATGAGCAAATACAACTGCTATTCACGTCTCGAGAACACTGAACACGGACCACCGCCACCACGCTGTGCATCGGCTTTCTGTCATGACAAAACTGAATGCACGCAGGCAGGTGTGCACAGCCACCAGAACTCACAGGAGTTTGAGAACAGCCCTCAGCTGGAGGAGTCCAGCCAAGAAGTCAAGCATTTTCTAATAAATAAGTGAAAAACGTTCCTTACCCAGTGAGATCATATATTCATAATTCCCCTTCATCACATTCTTGTACAGCTCCTTCTGCCAGTCTTCTAAGTTCTCCCACTCCTCCTGGGAGAAGACGGCGCTGTCATCAAATATCACCGGCACCTGACACCAAACATTCACTTAGCACCTTGCTTTAAATCACATCTCTTACACTTGTGTCACTAATATATGAAATAGATAGGGAGTGCCTAAAAAAGGCAACTAGATTTAATGGAGAAGATGGGCATTTTTTAAACACACTGTTTATGTTATAATTTAATGTTTATTATATTTGAAAGAACAATAGTAAAATGATGCAACGAATGAAAACAAAAGGGGACAGTATTCATTGACGGGGAGAAGCAAAGGAATACAGTTTGTATTGCAATGTCACAGAATGAAAGCTGAGTTACAATGAGACTATCAAAAGCCAGAAGTGTCCCATTTAATACCATTACGCGATAAGATTCCGGCTGCACTAATCATGGAGCAATATTGCTTCCCCTTTAACAAGCATTTTTCTTCAATATTTTAAAGTTTATGGTCAGAAAGATACAGGGCCAGATTCAGATCTGTTTCACTGGTGTGAATCTAGAGCAACACCATTGAGTTACTCCAGCTTTACTCCAAGGCAATGGAAAAATATGCCTTGTTTTGTGGAAAGTAACCAATTCGTCTCCAGTTGCATTCCACAAAAAGAACAGAAGTATTTGTGGCACCTTAAAGACGAACAAATTTATCAGAGCATAAGCTTTTGTGGGCTACAGCCCACTTCATCGGATGCATAGAATGGAACATACAGTAAGAAGATATATATAGATACACACACACACACACACACACACACACAGAGAAGGTGGAAGTTGCCATACAAACTGTAAGAGGCTAATTAATTAACATGAGCTATTATCAGCAGGAGAAAAAAACTTTTGTAGTGAAAGCTGCTTTACAGCACAATAAGGTGCTGAGTTTTGAGTTATTAAAAACGTATTGGAAACACTTTTTCTACAACATCTGCACACTGCACTCAGACATTACACAATGGGCACGAATATGAGAACCTGGGTATGCTGCTATACATCACAACAATCCAAGCGGTAACACTGGGAGCGGAAGAGGGATTATTTAGCTTGGTGTAGGAATGAATTGTGAACGGAGGAGAAGCCAGAGACGACATCATCAGCGTCAGAGGGATGGTAAGGAAAAGGGACTCACTATTAATGTTCATTCAAAAATAATTCCCCTTGCTTTGGATGAGGAAGGACTACCGTAGGTCTGACCAGTGCAACACAGGGCACCTTTGACATATCTTTATTTGAGAAGTCAGTCTCTGTATATCATCATCTGCAGGAAGTCTTCTAGAGACCCTTTAGGGGATCACAGTTCAGAGATAAACTGCAGAACACAAAATGTCTGCCTCTGGCTGTACAGACAGGCCTCAGTACAGGGAACAAGGGAAACTGAGTCTGGACGTACCCATATTGACGTCTTTCAAAGCTACGAGAGCTAGACGCACTCAGGGCAGGGTCACTGGGAGGGATAAAGGGACTGGATCATAGGCTGGGGGAGGAGCGGGGGCAGAGAAGACAGTCTCCTGGAGGAACAACTACGACCTGAAGCACTGCTACCAGCACTCTACCACCAACGGCTGATCTTAGAAACCTACCCTTCCCTGGGAGCAGCACAGCTCCTGGCACAGGACTGAGCGTAAGAGCTTCTCTCCTTTCCGAAGCATGTTCAAGAACAAAGGCCCCTCTCCTCCCAAGAGAGGATAAACTCGCCCCAACAGCCAGCACAAGAGGGCTGCAGTGGGACTGGGGATTCTCCTGGTAAGAGCCCCAGATGGATGTTACAGGACAAGTTCTAGGCAACTATCCAATGAACCCTCCAGACCTAATGAGACTAGCTAACGCTAGGGGCTAATCAATGCACTACCTCTATTCAAACCATTTTGCAACGGGGAATTAAAGTGCCCCTGGATCAGAAATATGAAAAATCTAGGACTATCAATTAATTGCAGTTAACTCAAGGCAAATTAACTTGATTAAAAAAATTAATCACAATTAATCAGTTTTAATCACACTGTTAAACAGCAATAGAATACCAACTGAAATTTATTATATATATTTTTGGATGTTTTTCTACATTTTCAAATACATTGATTTCAATTACAACTCAGAATACAAAGTGTAGAGTGCTCACTTTCTATTTTATTACAAATATTTGCACGGTAAAAAAGAAATAGTATTTTTCAATTCAACTCATACAAGTACTGTAGTGCAATCACTTTATCGTGAAGGTGCAACTTACAAATGTAGAATTATTTTGTTACATAGCTGCACTCAAAAACAAACCAATATAAAACTTTACAGCCTACAAGTCCACTCAGTACTACTTCTTGTTCAGCGAATTGCTAAAACTAAACAATTTGTTTACATTTACTGGAGATAATGCTGCTCGCTTCACATTTACAATGTCACCTGAAAGTGAGAACAGGCATTTGTATGGCACTTTTGTAGCCAGCATTGCAAGGTATTTATGAGCCAGATCTGCTAAACTTTCGTATGCCCCTTCATGCTTCAGCCACCATTCCAGAGGACATGCTTCCATGCCGATGACGGGTTCTGCTCAATAACGATCCCAAGCAGTGCAGACTGACTCATGTTCATTTTCATCATCGGAGTCAGATGCCACCAGCAGAAGGTTGATTTTCTTTTTTGGTTGTTCGGGTTCTGTAGTTTCCGGTTCCATCACCTCTGACCAGGTCCTGGTAGAAGTCTCCGGAACAGAGCTAGGCGGGATGGCTGGTTTAGCCTGGCTGCGGGTGACCATTCCCACCCTCTTGGCTAGCTTCACATGATTGGCCAAGTCTTCCCCCAACAGCATGGGGATGGGATAAGCATCATAGACTGGACCGGCAACTTGGCTGTAGGCAAGTCAAAAGAGTTTGACTTGAAGGGTTGAATTGTCACTTGGACCTCTGGGTCGATTAAATTGGGGTCCACTAAGGAAGCGTGGATAGCCAACACTTGTGCTCTGGCGTCCCTCCACGCAGTGACCTTCTTCCCACCTACACTCACAGTTTCCCTCCGCTTGGAGGGTATCTGGGAGGCATCTGGGCCTGAGGACCTTTGGTGGGACCTCGGTGCAATGAACTGTAACCTATTGGGGTTCTTGGGGCAGTTGGCCTTTACATGCCCTGACTCGTTACATTTAAAACATCGCCCAGCTGACTGGTCACTGGGGCAAGGTGGGTTGCTGGAGAACGGTGTGGTGAGACGATAAGGTGTCTGGGGTTTTTCTTGGGGGGTAGTCGGGGCTTTGGGTTGCCCCCGGTAGTAGGGTGTGGTCTGAGAGTGTCCCTTCTGGTATCCGCTCAAACTGCGACCAGGGTTGTTTCTCTCTCCTCCCTCCACCCGTTTTGTTCCAGTTTGCCCCGCCTCTCTGGTGGTCTGGGACTGCTCGTATTGATCAGCATAAGAAGCGAGACTTCCTGCTGAGTCCATTTTCTTATCCCATAAACACAGTTTTATATCATCCTGGACCTATTCAGCAATTGCTCCTGTATCATCAAATCCCGCATTCCTCCAAAGCTAGTTACTTCCCGTCCTTTGAGCCATTTATCAAACAAATCTGTCATCTGGTTTACATAAACCACATTACTTAGTCCAGACCCTCTCTTAAAGGCTCTAAATTTTACTCTGTAAGTTTCAGGTGTAACTTGAAATTGTTTTAAAACCAAATCCTTAAATTTATCATAGTCACAAGCCTCATCAATAGGCATCTTATTGAATATGTCCAGAGCTCTTCCAGTCAATTTTGCGACCAATGTGGTCATCTTGGGAGCGTCAGGAATTTTATGGAGTGTGCACAGTCTCTCAAAGGTGAGAAAATATTCAGCAATATCACTGGATTCATCATACTGTGGACATAGTCGCTCCCATTTGTGGATTTGTTGGGTAAGGATTGTTAGGGTTATTCGGTATATTCTGCTGAGCCCTTGACTTCTCTATCTCCAGTGCATGCTTCCTCTCTCTTTCCCTCTCCTCCATTTCTTTTTCTTTTGTCTCTATTTCTTTTGCTTTTGCCTCCATAGCTCTCTGGTGGGCAGCCTCCGCTGCCTCCTTAGTTCTCTGGTGGGCAGCCTCCTTATTGAGTAGTTTTAATTCGACCAGTCTCTGGTGTTCCTTTTCTCCCTCTTCTGCTTCCAGTCTAGCTATCTCCAGTTTCTGTTGGGCATTGCTTTCTGTCATCTTAGCCTCTCTGTTTTTAACCTACCTATACCCGAGAGTTAGAAAGAAAAAAAAACTTGGCTTGTAAAATTTACTGTGCTGTAGCCTGATACCTTTGCCTCTGATAGCTGTTCCCAGCCTACAGAAAAATCCTTTTGCTATGGAGCTGCTCTGTCCCCAAGCAAAGAGACAGAACCTGCAGCTGTAATCACCTTTTTAAAAACCTTTTAAAATCCTGCTGTGCTTCTGGTTCAAAATGATCCCACCGCTCTGCCACCATGTCAAGGTTCCTTCCCCACTCTGAACTCTAGGGTACAGATTTGGGGACCCGCATGAAAGACCCCCTAAACTTATTTCTACCAGCTTAGGTTAAAACTTCCCCAAGGTACAAAGTCTTTGCCCTTGGATTAGGTAAAAGGCTGCCACCACCAAGTGTTTTAGACAAAGAACAGGGAAAGGACCACTTGGAGTTCCTATTTCCCCAAAATATCCCCCCAAGCCCTATACCCCCTTTCCTGGAGAGGCTTGAGAACAAACAAGATGAGCACAAACCTCTTGGATTTTTAAGACACAAAAAACCCCATCAGATTCTTAAAAATCATGTCAATTTTAATAATAAATAATCAATAATAATAATAATAATAATCAATTTTAATAATAAAAATTATTAGAAGAACAAAAAAAAACAAAAACGATACGAGAACAACTCTGTAAGATCAGAATGGAAGATAATCTTACAGGCAATCAGATTCAAAACACAGAGAATCCCTCTAGGCAAAACCATAAGTTACAAAAAGACACAAAAACAGGAGAACACATTTCCTCCAGCACAGCGAATTAACAAGCCAAAACAAAGAAACCCTAATGCATTTTCTAGCTAGATTACTTACTAACTTTACAGGAGTTGAAGGGCTTGCATCCTTGATCTGTTCCCATGAAAGGTATCACACAGACAAAACTCTTTCCCCTCCCCTCCAGATTTGAAAGTATCTTGTCCCCCCGTTGGTCATTTTGGGTCAGGTGCCAGCGAGGTTACCTTAGCTTCTTAACCCTTTACAGGTGAAAGGATTTTGCCTCTGGCTAGGAGGGATTTTATAGCACTGTATACAGAAAGGTGGTTACCCTTCCCTTTATATTTATGACAAGTACCTTGTTTGCATTTTGCCATATCTGCAGTGAAAGTGTTCTTAAATCAAACAACATGTGCTGAGCTGTCATCTGAGATTGCCATAACACAAAACATATGGTAGAATGTGGGTAAAACCACAGAGCAGAAGACGTACAATTCTCCCCCAAGGAGTTCAGTCACAAATTTAATTAACACATTGTTTTCTTAACAAGCATCATCACCATGGAAGCATGTCCTCTGGAATGGTGGCTGAAGCATGAAGGGGCATATGAATATTTAGCAGATCTGGCACGTAAATTCCTTGCAATGCCAGCTATAAAAGTGCCATGCAAATGTCTGTTCTCGCTTTCAGGTGACACTGTAAATAATAAGCAGGCAGGATTATCTCCCATAAATGTAAACAAACCAGTTTAGCTACTGGTTGAACAAGGAGGACTGCGTGGACTTGTAGGCTCTAAAGTTTTACATTGTTTTGTTTTTGAGTGCAGTTATGTTAAAAAATATTCTACATCTGTAAGTTGCGCTTTCACAATAGACTGCACTACAGACTTGTATGAGGTGAACTGAAAAATACTATTTCTTTTCGTGTTCTTTTTACAGGGCTAATATTTGTAATAAAAATAATATAAAGTGAGAACTGTGTACACTGTATTCTGTGTTGTAACTGAAATCAGTATATTTGAAAATGTAGAAAACATTCAAAAATATTTAAATAAGTGGTATTCTATTATTGTTTAAAAGTGCGATTAATCGCAATTATTTTTTTTAACCGTTTGACAGCCCTAGAAAAATCCCTTTGTTACCCAATACAGGCTCAGCCTTTACTTCCTGTACTAACTGGGGTACAATTACCTTTGGGACTTCTCCATTAACACCAGGAGGAAGCCTCAGGATCCAGAAGTTCCTGTTCTTCAGCAGGTTCTCCATGTTCTCCAGTCTCCTCTGCAGCAGCCCATACTCCTGGATCAGAGTTCCCAGCGCAGTCCACTTACTCTCCAGCTGGTTTCCAAACTCCAACTCTGTTTTCTCACACTCGAATATTTTCTTCTCAGCCGTCCCAGTTCTCCCCTCCAGACTCAGCAACCGTGTGGCAAACGAATCCACCTTTCTCTCCACAGCTTGGATGGCAGCCACTAGGGTCCACATCGAAATCTCTGCTGTCTGCACACACATGCATTCAGGGACACCGGGGGGCTGGGAAGACATCAGGCGCTGTGACTCTGCATCCCATTCCTGAGCCTGTTTGCAAGGAGAGAGACGGGAAATGGAGCTAGAGCCACGTTTCCATCTGGCAAAGTTAGATACAGAGAAACCGCACAAGAGCCGCTCACATGCTGAAGACTCCTCCGCACTGTGCAATCTTTACTCCGACAGCGCCGCTGTCCTGATGTGAGAAATGACATCTTCTGACATCTTTATTAGAATTATAAACTTGAAATGAGGCCCATAAAAGGTTCAACTGCCCTGGGCTGACATGTGACATGAATATTAGCTACCCAGCTATTTTCTTCTGAAATTAGTGCTGTGAAGATCTGAAGCGAACTTTGTCAACAAAGCGTCACGCACCCTAGACAGAACTTTATACCCAGACAGAGGAGGTTTAAGGGCTGCCTCCAGCTTGCAATCGAGTCAGTTTCTAAAGTGAGAGTTAAGACTACCATCAGCTCTTACAACGGCCCTTTAATTAGCCTGCTAGTTTCGATGATCACACACTCCTAATTTCTGTTAAATGTTTCTCGTCCCTGTTGCTGTGTGAAAGACCCAGACAGAGTGAAAATGCCTACATGAAGGGATGTCAAATGCCCAGTGTAAACAAACAAAGAAAAGAACCTATCATTTTCCTCTAATTTCCTTCTGTTATAGTCTTTTTTGCTGTTACTTGTAACACTATTAGTGATTTTAAGTTGACGTCCCCTTGAAGTTTGCAGATGCCATGTTGGGTAAGTTCATGTTGCTATAGCTGCTGCATGAGAGATGCAAAAAATAGTTTTTGTGAAATACAAACAAGCGTGTACACACTGTACAAATAAAAAGTTGTTTTAAAAGCAGTTTTGGAGGCGGCCAAACTCTCTGCATGCTGGTGGCTTGATCATTTTCCATTCAAAATGCCAAGTTCATTTATTTGGAAGAAGCTAGTGTAATGTAGCTCTCCTACTGGCAGTCACAACCCAGTGGATTCTGGTCATACAGGAATCTACAGCGCTTTCCTGCCAACCAGGAGATACTGACTGGTGTACTGGGAACCACAGAGTAAGAAGCTCTGCGTTTTTCACTGAATATATTTATGCACACTTTTGACACTTACGCACTGAGTGGTCCCTCAAATTCGCAGGAACGATTCAGACGTGTAAAGTTACTCACATGAATAAGTGTCACTTTCATTCCTGCAGACTATGATCCTTTACTGCAAGTCAGGCATGCAGTTCTAGTTCATTTCATTCATAGCTTAAGCTACTAAAGGGCAATGATGCCTGACAAAGTTTTGTCACTGACATGACCTCTCATGAGAGAGCCACAGGAATAACGTACAAGCAATGGAGGTGGTGTCATCTTTAAAACAGTGTCAGACACTAGAGGAATGAGACAAAACCGTACAGCAAAAAGGATCTATTTTAAAATGAAGAATCAGTGATGGTCAGAAGCTAGGCTGCCTTTTCAAAACTGATAACCCTTACACAAAACGGCCAAATGTGAGACAAAGATTATCTTTGTATGCAGCTCAGAGGTAAGCAGCAAAAAAAGGCATGAGGCCTTGTCCACACGGGAATGTTTGACCAGTTATACTGGTATAGGTATACTGGTATAACACCTTACACCCCCACCCCGCCCCCATGTGGACACACTCATTCTGGTGCAACAGTACCTTTTCTCAGTTTAGAATCATAGCGTTTAAGGTCAGAAGTGCCCACCAAACCATTTAGTCTGTCACAGGCCACCAACCCCAGCCAGCACCCTCACACTAAACCCAGCAAGTGAAATTGGACCAAAGTCATACAGCCCACAAGACGCTAGTCTATTAACCCCTTCCCAAGCAACATAACTAGGCTGGTTTAAATTCATACCTTAGCGGCTTATACACACACAAAAAAAATCTCTCTCGTGTAGACCACCTGAGTCCTTAACACCCAAATCCTACACAGTGAAGGAGAATTTAGCTCATCAGAAGCTTGGAGCTTGTTTTCTACCGGCCCAATCCAATGCATCATCCCCCACATATAGTTTACTCAGGATATTCCACACATATTTGTTCACTGCCAGGATCAGTATTCCAATAACTGCCTAGAGGTCCCAACCACAGTCAAGGCCCCATTGTTAGTAATATTCCTGTAGCGTCGTAGAGCCCCAGTTATGGACCAGGACTCCGTTGTGCTATGCCTCAAAGAGTTTACAGTCTGAAGTATAAGCCAAGAGACAACAGATGGAGACAGGCAGAGACATGGGGGAGTACAAGGAGACAATGGGACAGTACTGGTCAGCATGGTAGGCCGTGGGCTCTGCACACCAGTAAAGATCACCTAACCACGGTGAAGTTTTTTGTAGGCCTGGTAGCTTAGTGGATGTTTGGGAGAAGCTATCCGAAGCATGAGGGGCAGCAAGGGGAAAAGCAGATAGGTTTGCAAATCTAACCACTGGGCAACAGTGGCTGGCACTGACCTTGAAGTGGATGGGGAGGATGGGGCTAGGCTGTCAAGATCCTTGAAAGTGAAGATAAATAGCTTCTGTTTGCTGAGCTGGAGAAGAGGGAATGAATAGGCAGCAGATTTAAAACAAACAAAAGGAAGTATTTTTTCACACAATGCACAGCTAACCTGTGGAACTCCTTGCCAGAGGATGTTGTGAAGGCCAAGACTATAACAGGGTTCAAAATGGAACTGGACAAGTTCATGCAGGATAGGTCCATCAATGGCTATTAGCCAGGATGGTCAGGGATGGTGTCCCTAGCCTCTGTTTGCCAGAAGCTGGATCACTTGATGATTACCTGTTCTGTTCATTCCCTCTGGGGCACCTGGCTTTGGCCACTGTCAGAAGACAGGATACTGGGCTAGATGGACCCTTGGTTTGACCCAGTGTGGCCGTTCTCACGAGCCAGCGGAAGGATTCAAAGCGGGGAATGACATGTTCAAAGCAACAAGCTATAGAAGTGATCTGGGCAGCAGCTCTCTGAACGGACACAAGCTGGGCAAGGCTGCATTTGCCAAGGCCGGGGGAAGGAGGTTGCAATACCTGAGAGGGGAGCAGATGAGTACTTGGATGAGCGTTTCAGCTGTGTGGCTGGACAGGGAAGGCCGTCTCTTAGCAATGTCATGCAAAAAGAATCAGCAAGATTTAGACGTAGCCTGGATGCGAGGAGGTAGAAATTGATCTGAGTCAAAGATAAGGCCCAGGTTACAGGCCTGAGGGACAGGCAGAACAATGGTGCTGTCCACAACGATCAAGGAAGATGATAGCAGGTAAGACTAAGGGGAAGGGAGAAAGGTTAAGAGCTCTGATTTAGCCATGTTGAGCTTAAGCGGACAGCTAGAAACCCACAAGGAGATGTCCGAGAGACAGGCTGAGAGTTCAGTTTGGCCAGAAGGAGACAGGCCTGAAGCAGGGAGACAGGTCTGTGCGCCATCAGCAGAGAGAGGAGAGCGGATTCCTGTCTCCAGATGAGATTACCCGCCCAAAGATAAGGGGCAGAGGGAGGAGAGACGGGCAGTGTACTGCGCACCGTACAAAGATGTAGCGAGAGCCGGTCCGTGCTGGGAAGAGCTGACGTTGGGAGGAATCAGTGCAGCCGACACCTGCCCAGGCAGTCCCCCAGGGGGGCGAGCAGCCTCCCTGAAGGCGAGGGGGCTCCTTCCACGGCAGAAGTTACGCAAGGCGGAAAGCCTTTCCAGGACCAGGACCTAAACAGACCAGACCTATCAAGGAGGAGAGAAAAGCGCCCCCCACCCCCACGACAGCGAACACGGGGACGCTTGGCAGGCGAAATCCAGCGGCCCCACCCCCGCTCCCCCTTTCCCCCCACCCCACTCCCCCCCACCCCACCCCACTCCACCCCCGCTCCCCCTTTCCCCCCACCCCACCCCACTCCCGCCCCCCCTTTTCTCCCCACCCCACTCCACCCCCGCTCCCCCTTTCCCCCCACCCCACCCCACCTCTGCTCCCCCTTTCCCCCCACCCCACCCCACTCCACCCCCGCTCCCCCTTTCCCCCACCCCACCCCCACCCCCACTCCCGCCTCCGCTCCCCCTTTCCCCCCACCCCACTCCCGCTCCCCCCACTCCACCCCCGCCCCCGCCCGGCGCTGCACACTCCTTAGTCACCGCGAGGGGGCGCTCGAGGACAGTCATGAATCCAGGCGGGAAGAGGCGGGGCGGGGGGGTGGGGGGCTGGAGCGACGCCGCAGCCCGGCCCCCGAGACAAAGCCACGTCACGGCCCCGCTACCGAGCCGGGCCCTTACCTGGGCAGCGGCCCGCTCGGCCATGGCGCCCCCGGGCGGGGCTGCTCCCGCGGGCCCGGCCCGGCCGAGCCCCGCTCCCGCTGCGGGCTGGGCAGAGTCCCGGCGCCGCCTCGCCACGGGCCGGCCCCGCTGCCAGGCGCCGCGCAGTGCATGCCGGGAGCCGGCGCCGGCAGCGCCCCCTGGCGGCCCTGGGGGGAGCAGCCCCGTTCGCGCGGCAGAGGGCAGCTGGGCCCCACCCCCCGCCTCGCTGGGCCCCACTCCCACAAAAACCCCCACCCCACTCCTCTCCCCCCTCCCACATTCTCTGCCCCCACCCTGCTCCCCACCCCCACCTCTATCCTCCTCATTCCCCTGCCCCACCCCACTCCCACCCCCCACATTCCCTGCCCCCACCCCACCCTGCTCCCCACCCCACTCCCACCCCCCCATTCCCTGCCCCCACCCCATCCTGCTCCCCACCCCACTCCCACCCCCCCATTCCCTGCCCCCACATTCCCTGCCCCCACCCCATCCTGCTTTCCACCCCCACCTCTATCCTCCTCATTCCCCTGCCCCACCCCACTCCCACCCCCCACATTCCCTGCCCCCACCCCATCCTGCTCCCCACCCCACTCCCACCCCCCACATTCCCTGCCCCCACCCCACCCTGCTCCCCACCCCCACCTCCCCACCCCCCCCCCCCCATCCCCCCCCCCCCCCACCCCACCCCCATTCCCTGCCCCCACCCCATCCTGCTTTCCACCCCCACCTCTATCCTCCTCATTCCCCTGCCCCACCCCACTCCCCCCCACATTCCCTGCCCCCACCCCATCCTGCTCCCCACCCCACTCCCACCCCCCCATTCCCTGCCCCCACCCCATCCTGCTCCCCACCCCACTCCCCCCCCCCATTCCCTGCCCCCACCCCATCCTGCTCCCCACCCCCACCTCTATCCTCCTCATTCCCCTGCCCCACCCCACTCCCCCCCCCACATTCCCTGCCCCCACCCCATCCTGCTCCCCATCCCACTCCCACCCCCCCCCCCCCCCCCCCCCCCCCCCCCCCCCCCCCCCCCCCCCCCCCCCCCCCCCCCCCCCCCCCCCCCCCCCACATTCCCTGCCCCCACCCCATCCTGCTCCCCACCCCACTCCCACCCCCCCATTCCCTGCCCCCACCCCATCCTGCTCCCCACCCCCACCTCTATCCTCATTCCCCTGCCCCACCCCACTCCCACCCCCCACATTCCCTGCCCCCCCCCCTGCCCCCACCCCACCCCCCCCCCCCCCCCCCCCCCCCCCCCCCCCCTCCTGCTCCCCCATCCCACTCCCACCCCCCCACATTCCCTGCCCCCACCCCATCCTGCTCCCCACCCCACTCCCACCCCCCCATTCCCTGCCCCCACCCCATCCTGCTCCCCACCCCCACCTCTATCCTCCTCATTCCCCTGCCCCACCCCACTCCCACCCCCCCCCACATTCCCCTTCTCCTGCTCCATTCCACCCACCCACCCACACACACACACATTCCCCTGCCCCCTGGAGATGCTCCTTCAGCAGGACCTGGGCACATCAGATCAGTGTGTGTGTACTGCGAGGGGGGGCACCTGCGCCCACCTGACAACTGCTGCGGGCAGGAACCCCACGGGATCACCCATTCTCACCCTCTCCGCCCCACTTTTCAGTCAGTAATTGTTCCTCTTGCCCCATTGTCCTGTGTGGATGCTTGGAGGAGTGGGAGGGAGCTGGGTTGAGGCCACATGTGGCCTGTCTGAATTTGGGGGAGGGGGCAGTGAGCACGCCTGGCTCAGGGGCTCTTGGGTGCATGTGTGGAGTTCTCGGGGTGCTTTCACCAGACCTCCAAGAGCAATCAAGCTGTGCCCCAGTACAGCCCTTGGGAACACCGGCCCCCGGGGTCCACTGGGGTATTGAGCAAGATTAACACTGTTGAAAATGTCATGTGGCCAGGGAGGCTCTGAGCTGCCCAATTTCACCGGCACTGGTTTGGAAACTTCTGGCCTTCGTGCACCGTTGAATGAGATACCAGCTCTATGGGGCTGATCCTGTGAGCCCCACAGGCTGTCCCTGGCCTGGACCTTATCCTGAGTCTCCTTTCCATAAACATGCATACATGCCCGGAGCTGACCCAGCTCTTGAGTTTCTATAAAACCGGGTGGTCTCAAGATACGAGATAAGATTCCCAATCCCACTGCCCTTACCCTTGTGAGCCCTCCCACAGAGAAGGACGAGGCTAATCAGGATTACACTGAGTAGGCTTTGGCCCAAGAACGATTAAGAGGCAGACGTGTCAGAGCAGAGGTTTAACGAAGTGAGATTGGAATAAGGTTAGTAATCACAGACACAACTCCA